ACTTCCATAAAAAGCCATTCTGCCAAAATAGAAGAGCCGTGTGAAAATCTGTCAGTTTAGATAAAGACAGTAGCAGGACAACCTGGGGGCAAGAGAGGAGGATCCAATGTCAGCTGTTGAACTGACACATACATCTACCTCTGAAGGCCTCTCTTCTTATGATGAATAACAGCTAAGGAAAGAGGGTTACCACCACCCTGTCTATCCCATGGCACTTTGCTGAATGCGAGGATGGTCCTGCCCTGAGAGGATGTGAATATTGGGAAGGCTTGAACAGAGCTTGGCCTGGAAAAAAAGCATGGAGAACCTCTGGGAGAAGCGGTCCTCCATGAGATGCCTCAGTGAAGCAAAGAGATTAAGAGGTCAAAGCAAAAAAATGAAGTCCCATGGCCTGAGTTAGTTGGGAGTTTCAACATACGCACGAGTTACAGAATTAACTTGCTGCTTGCTGAGGAGCCTCGTGGGTGCAGCTCCAGCCCTGTCCTGAGCTAAAATGATGAACAATTGGTTAAAAATTTAAAGCATGTTTTCAAAGCAGCTTGTAGCAGCGTGGGCGCCAAGAACAGGTGTTGGAGCTTGCCCCGTAGGGCTTGGTTCTTCACAGATGCAGGACTAATTTGGCACCTGATTTCCCAGGCTGGTGGTTTACACAGCAGCTGACAGTGTGCATGGTTGGGATGTCTGGAATGTGTTCACTGTAGGATCAGGTAAACTCTGCTCCATCTGACAACGAAGAAGTAGTTGCCAGAAGGCCCTTTGGGTGCAGACTGTGGCTTTGAAAATGAATGCTTGTTATGTGCCGAAATCCTGGGCAGCTCTCACTGAGAAGCCTGTGGGCAGGCTGTTCAGAAAGGCAGGTTTGATTTCCATTAGCTGGTGGGGAGTAGTAGGCTAAGAAGCGCGGGGTGTGAGGATCCCAGTGTGAAGTCCTTGTGGGTCTGGGTCTGCTGTGCAAAAGCGTGTTTTCCCTTCCAGGTGGCTAAGAATCTGAATGAAGTGGGACTTATATTCCCAGGAATTAAATGCCTGCAGCTGTCTTTTGAAGTTGGGGAGAGGAGTTAGAGCTGCTGACGGTGACAAATACCAATGGGGTGGAAGCATTTCCCTGCTCTAATAACTCATGCTAATGCAACCTAAAGCCTTCACCATTCAAAGTCAGGGGAAGCTGCAGGCGTCCCAGCTCTGAGATCAGAGCAGCCATTCTTCACCTCCCTCTCCAGCACTCAGGAGGGGTTGCAGTCTCCCCGGAGCACCTTTTACCCTTCATTTTTCCAGACCCAGCCCAACTGCCATACGTCTGAGCAGTGCCTTCCCCTCCATTGCCAACACCCCTGCTCACTTCACTCCTCCGTATCTGAGCTCTCAACTGTTTTGCTTTCTCTCTGCACCTTTTCTTTCACAGCAGCTTTCCCAGTTCTCATAGCCTGTACCCTGTCAAAGCATTTCCCTTGGCTCTTGGGGCCTATTGCGGAAACCCTCTTGCTCCCTGGCCTCGCTCTCTCCAGCATGGCTATTGCCCTCTGCCAGTGAAGCCAACCTGCTCTTTGTCCTCCGGTCCTGCTCACCCGCCCTGCCAGGGCTCAGCATCCTGCTTTCCGTTTGCTCCCACTGCTGCTCGCCTGACGGCTGCCTCAGAGCCATTTACACGGCAGGAGCTGATCCTGCTTTGCACCCTGGCTAGAGGCCCTCAGAAACCCCTTCCAGCCCTACTCTTTCTAATTTTAAAGTTAATGCCCGCACAAAGTTATAAACAAAAAACTTGTTCCAGAAATCATTCTCCGGGGTTTTATAAAAGCATGGTTTGCAGTTTCCCGTAGCCAAAGCAGCTTTTGTCTGCTTGTGTACACATACAAATAGCAGGGAGATGGCCCTTGCCTGGGCAGTCTCTGATCCTCAGGAGGTGCTTTTGGGCAATATGAGCACAGGTGAATGATAGAAAACGTTCAACTGGAATAAACATTGGAGTAAACTTGTGTGAAATACTCCTGGGCTAAGCAGTGTATCTGTACATGCATGATGCTTTGTCCAGCACATTTGGAAATCCTGGTCAAACTATCAGCTACTCTTTTTTTTTCTCCCAAGTAAAACATCCATGGGTGAAAAAAAAGGATCATCCCAGAGAGCCCCTGTTGTATGGTAAGCTTCAAACAGGACAGACTCTCTGCTCCTCCAAAGTTTATTTCTTGGGCTGAGGAGCTGATAACGAGCAGGTGAACATGAAAAGCAGCATGGGAAAAAAAATTCCATGACAGCCCAGGGGAACAGCAATAGCGGTGGTCATAGCAAACCAGTACAGCAGACGTTTGGAGTTTGGTCCCACTCCTTTGAAATAAAGCCGAGCTTTACCCTGGATTTTTGTGATATTTGTGAACAGAATCCTGGGATTTGCAAACATTTGCTATATATCACCTCCTCTTTCCCGCTGCCAGCTGCAAAGCACTTCTGCTGCTCTTCCTTGGAAAAAGAGGATTGCACATTGTGTGGTTAGCAATATTTCCACCTCTCTCTTGCTGTTTTTCCATGCCCTTGTTCCTTGTTCCCACAGCCCAGTTCAGGCTATGAAATAGCTTTGCCCTATGAACCATTTTCTTCCAGCAGCTTTTGCAGACATTCTCTTTGGTACATGCAGCCCCCCAATGACAGCAGCAGTTTTGAGGAGGCTTGAAACATCCTAGTGACCTGTCCTGGTGCCTCTTGAAGTCAATGAGGTTTGTGCTTAGAGGGGGCAGGATCCAAGCCAAAGTGTTTGCTTTCCAGGTAGAAGACTACCAAGAATCAACCCTGATCTCTCATTTCCTTTCTTTTTCTTCCTCTTTGCAGGAATGGACATACACATACAACCACCAAGTCCGCCAGCAGCAGCTGTGCTTGTCCGTGTACACCCTCTTCCCCGGTTCCCAGGTGCTGCTGTCACCTTGCAAAGAAGGTGACAACAAGCAGGTGAGCCCTTTCGCTGATCCCCCGTTTTCTTTGAGGTTCCCTCTCTTTCAGCATAGTATTACTGCATAGCAAATGGCCTGTGCACTCTGACTTCATCTGAGAAGCACAGTCTATCGGGGAATACAGACTCCAGCCCGTTCAACCCTTTGCCTCTTAAATGAGTGTGTTGATAAGGATGTCTATTAATGCGGGTGGTGATCTGGATACTTATCTGCAGAAGTCAAACCAAAACTGGCAATTTAGTTCACACGGGCTGCCAGTCAGCCAGCAGACGCTAACGTTTCTTGCAGTTAATCATCAAGCTGGCATTTGAACCAGTGACCTGGGGAAAAAGCTGTTAGTAATATATTATCTTCCTGAAGCCAAGCAGAGGCTGAGCTTAAATGAGCGTGCTTCTGATGGGAGAAATACTCAGCATGTGCTCTGCTCGGTGTGGGTTTGGGGACCCTGTTCTTCCCAGCATCAGGCCACAAAGGCTTAGTGATGACAGTCCTCTTGATGCTGGAACAGTATAGGAAAAGTATAATGAGGAGGAAGCTTGTTCACCCCTGTTTCTCCTCTTGTGTGTGTCTCTCCTCAGCGATGGGGTAAAGTTGGGTCACACATTGAACACATAGCTTCACGCTTCTGTTTGGATACTGAGACCATTGGGGACACGAGTGAGAGTACCAAAGAGCTTGTCATCAACCCTTGTGAGAGCACAGCCATGAGCCAGCGTTGGGACATGGTGATGTCTTGACCTACTGGAGGACTTACACAGTGAGGATGGGCACTCAGACGTTGTTACGTGCAGCCGAGATGTACCAGATGGAGCTCAAATGCAAAACCATTGGGAGTCCTTGTGTACTATGGGACAGGAGAAGAATCATTCAAGTAAAAATAAGGACATAGTGCTCCGAGTTGAACAACAAATGTTGTCCGCAAGATGTGCAGCTGGTATTGGCCTGTTGGTGGTCATACATTAAGAGAGAAGGCATGGCAAAAAACCAAACTTTAAATGTTTTAGAGGGATACCGGGACTCCTGTGATGGGTCCTACAGAAGTTCAGTGTGCACAGTATTGATTAATCTCTCTGGAAACACAGGTAGAAGAGCCTTGGAGACCAAAAGGAGACTTGGACTCAGCAAAACAAGCATCTCGATAGCTTTTGAGGGGTGAGGCAGGTGCACAAGGAAGGATGTGCCAAGGGATGCTAAGAAACATCGGCTGGGATCAAGTGGAAAACACTGAATTATCTTTGCACTTTTCATTGCTGTGGATGAGTTTGTCTTCTGCAGACAGTATAGGTAGAGGCGTGTTGCACATTGGAATTTGTATCCGATCCACGTATGTGCTGTGTATACAGAGGCAGGGCAGTTGTTTATGGCTGTGGCCAGGATCAAACCAACAAGTAATGAGGGAATCCTGCTCTGTGCTGACTGCATGTGGGCGTTGTTGAATCTCCAAAGCCCAAGCAAACACAGGATTCAGTGTTTGGGATTAAAGGATATAAACTGCTGTGAAGCTGGGAGGAAAGGGAGTGACATGATTATTTCTCCTCTCTGAAGGCCACGGGGGAGCCTCGGTCACTGAAAACTCCCCTATAATCTCACTATGTGTCTCTCACTGCTTCAGATCTGGACTAAGTCAAATTTTCACTTTTCTTCCATAAAAGTAATATTTTTGGTAATTGAAGGTAATTGTGTCATATTTCTGTTTCCCAATTTCCCAATTACAGAAGAGGGGACTCCCATGAAGTGCTGCTACTGAAGGAACGGAGGAGGTAATTAAAACTAGAGACTGCTCTGAGAAAGGAAAAGGGATATTACCTGGTTTTGCTTCCCAGGTATCTTGTAGCTCAAGATGTCAAGTACTGAAGAAAGTTTGAGATTCCCCCAGTCACAGCTGTGAGCAGGGAACCCTGGGGTCACAAAGTACCTCTCTCCCAAAGTCATTTAGCATAGGCAGACTTGGCAGAAATTATTTCATCAGCTTTTGGAGATAAGTCATTAACCAGAGGTCATGTCAGGTGCTATCACTACGTGGGAGTGAGGTGACTGCCAAAGAGGAGTAGGACAGAAGACCTCAGAAGGGGTCTTAGGAGTAGAAGACCGGAGGGTCCTTTCCAGCCTGTATTTCAGAGCAGCTCCCACTACAGCAACAGGTAACAGGCAGTGAATCACCAAGAGCTGTGCACACAGCTCTTTTGTAGTAACAGCTCTCGAAGAGAACTTTCGCAGGACTGTCAGTGTGACTTGAAGAAAAATACAGTTTGTGTCTCTAAAAATGCTAGGGTTTAATGAAAATCCTATCCTTTGTTTCCTGTGCTGCAAACTGCAGGTAAAACACCGTAAGCTTTGAGCCTTCAAGTGCTCTGAGCATCCCTTCTTGAATAAATTGCTGGCTTTCAGGATTTTACTGCCCCAGTTTCGCCTCCCTCAGTGCTGGGAGAAAGCTGTATGTGTAAATCTCCCTGCTGTTAGAGGCAGAACCAGTAAAACTCTTTTATTTACAAAAGGTCACAGGGTATAAATGCCTTCCCTGTGCTGCCGTGATTACTAACCTCATCAAGCTCCCTTGATGCAAACCTCAAGGGCTTCTGTTATGAAAGGGCTGGAACAAGCTGTCATTTTGTGGTGGGAGATGGTGTTTCCATGTCACCACTTTGCACAGGAAACAAGGAAGGCACTTAAAACGGAATGGACCCCTTTCACAAAGAAGGGGCATGACTTTGGGCTCCTTCTATTTAATTGAACGGAGAAATATCAGACTTACTTTTCACACCGGCAATGACAGGCAAGTGATAGTAATTCCCTTTCTAGTGCTTACAAGGGAAAGCAGCTCCCACGAGCCTGAAGCTTAACATGTTCACACCTGTACTGTGCCTACAACCCAGGACTGCCCAGCTGCTGGCGCTTTGATTCTGAAAATTCAAAGATATGAACAACTTGGCCTCAGTTTTGAAGTCCAGCACCTGGCAGGTACACTCTGAGCAGGACCTCAGACCTAGCTAGCTTTATTATTTTCCATCAAAGCTGCAATTATCCATTCTGCTGACAGCCAAAGCTCTCTAAACAGGTAATGCTCTTCTTTGCCTTAGCAGAAACAGCTACCTCACTACAGGTGTGTGTGCTTGAGCACACCGACCCGTGGGACCTGCAGGGATGTATTCCAGGAAAAAGTTGTTTGACCAGCTTTTTGGCTCTCTTGCCTCTTTCTGAAACCCAAATGCTGCCATACCAAACCCCTCCTATTCCAAAACACACACTAAGGTGATCACCATGAACTCGTTTGAGGGCAGTGGAAGGCAGGCAGTGGGGAAGGTGACACCAGCCGTGGTGTCCCCTACCAGAGAGCAGCATGGTTCAGCTAAGTCTCTTGCAGGCCCACAAGTCACCAAGTACCTAACAGCCCTGGGGAGCCGCAGCCACTCGGCGAACTGGTGATTGTGGCTCATGCATCCATCAGCTGTAACCCTTAGACTACAGCTTATTTCGTGATCCAAGAAATGAGATTAGCCCCATGGATCAGCAATGTTTTCGGAGAAGCCTGAGGGTATCAGCCTGACTCCTGAGAAGCTTTATATAAGCAGGCGATGGACTGGCAGTCCCCAGAGTTAGCCCCAATACGGCATTTAGCAAATCTGCTTAGTGTCCCTGCAAAGAGACCTTGCATCATGTCAGGGGAAAGGTTAACTGCTGCTGAAATGCAACTTATACCTTTAGGTTTATTTCACTTATTAAAATACACTGGAGACAGATGAACTTTTTTGCTTTGTATTTGTTACTTGCCTAGACATTTATTATCATGCTGTGAACAAATATACATGACATTGATAGGTGTATCTAGGTGGGCTCATATGCCTATACCTCTTAAGACCTAATGTCATTTGGTAGTAATGTTTTTTGGTAACATTTTGCACTGACTTGAAAGAACAGAAGGTAAAGTAGAAAATACGGTTCTAATCCTGGCTGTTGAGCTTTGTGACAGCCTTTATGATCTCCAGGTAAGTCACTTCTTGTGCCTTGGGAAAATTAGATTCAGAGCAGGAAACTCAGGGCTAGAACTACTACTGCCTTTTAAAGAGCTAACCAAAGCTATGCAAAAAAAAAAAAAACCAAAAAAAACTAAAAAAAACCAAAAACAAAAACAAAACAAACAAAAAAACCCCACAAAGCACCTTAGCCTTCCCCTTCCCTCCCGAAGGAGATCTGTGTTCTAGTGAGAACAAATCTGTTCTGGTTTTAGTTGGGCTAGAGAAGTCTTACAGTCCCTACCTTGCTGCTTATGTGATTTCCAGATGTTTTGTGCTCATCCTCTCTCTGTACCAGCACAGTACCATAAGACAACAACACAAAGAACCAATGCTTGGTTAAGAACCTCAGCTTACAACATGCTGATGTAATAATTTAGTAGTAAAGAGATGGAAACTGAATTCAAAGCTCTTTGATTATCCAGTCATGCAATGGGAAAATAGGGCTGGTGGATGAAGACTGGAGGACTGTGGTTCAAGACAAGCACCAGCCCTGAGCGCTAATCCCTTCTTCTGCTTCTAGGAACAACTTGGGATAGCTAACTTCATTTCCCTGCCTCAGTTTCCCAAACTTTTAGTGAAGACTGAATGTTTTGAAGAGAGTATTAATTTTGGTTGCATACAATACCAGCAGTACTGGACTGGCAAGGGACTGGCAGTCTCTGGAGTTAGCTCCATGGACCCTTATTATCTGCCTGTACAGGGTCTGGTTCGGATGGAGTTAATTTTCCTCATAGCATCCTGTATGGTGCTGTGTTTTAGGCTGGTGACCAAAACAGTGTTGATAACACACAACAACGTTTTAGTTATTGCTGTGCTTGCGCAGTGTCAAGGCCTTCTCCATCTTACTCTGCTGCCCCAGTGAGTAGGCTAGGGTTGGGCAAGAGGTTGGGAGGGGACGCAGCCGGGACAGCTGACCCAAACTGACCAAAGTGATATCTCATACCATATAATGTCACACTCAGCAATGAAACTGGGGGGGGGGCGGTTCCACAGCAGGTGTTACTTGGAGACTGACTGGGCATCAGTCTGCAGGTGGTGAGTGACTGCCTTTCCATCACTGGGTTGTTGTTTTTTTTTTTCTATCCTTTTCCTTCACTTATTAAACTGTCTTTATCTTGACCCACAAGTTTTTCCCAGTTTTGCCCTTCTGATTCTTTCCCCCATCCTGTTTGGTGAGGAGTGAGCGAGTGACTGGGTAGGAGCTTAGCTGCCAGCCAGGGCCAACCCACCAGACTGCCCTAAGCAAACCAGGGTCCGAGTGTAACCGGCTGGTATTCTTTGTGGCTTGGACTCTGATCACAACTGTGCAATAGGATCTGCGCTGCTCAAATCTCAGATCTTAAAAGTTTTAGTGAAAAGCTATGGGCTAGAATTGTTTGTAGAAGCAAAAACAAGCAGATTATACACAAGCAGCAGAAGAAACTGTAGCTCATTAATGTTCTGGCTAAATTAATTTTGAATGATCAGTCCAGCTCCAGTTTTAATATTACGTGGCTGCTTTAGTTGGCTGAAGAGTTTAAGGAAGACTGGTGTTGGGTGTCCAGCTTACACTGAGACTTAAGGGCTGAAATCCAGTGGAATTATTCCAGATTTATGGATGTTTTCCATTTGTCCACTGTTCTGTTACTCACTGGAAGTGCCTTCAGAACCCTGTAAGAATAAAAACCTGTTACAAGCTACTACTTCTCCAACTGAGTCTAAATAAGTTTCAAGTTGAGCTGCAT